GGCGTCGCCGTCAGAGGTTGACAAGCCAGCTTGCCAACCAGGCACTGAAGAGCTTTGGGCCTGACCTGCGCTGGTTTGGTTCACCAACATGTGGTCTTTGCGGAGCAGCATGGCGTTTCGGCGGGAGTTCTGCAGGGCAATGGCGGTGCTGGCCTGCGACATCAGCGGGTCAGACTGGGTGAGCAGGACGTTGCTGTGGCTGTGGGAGTCCAGGCTGAGCAGATCCTGCAGCGTCTGGTGGTCACTGAAGTGCGGGATGCAGGAGAAGGTGGTCTGCTTGTTCTCCTGGATGGTCTGCATGGGCGACTGCCGCAGGCTTGTGATGGACGGAGGGCTAAAAAGAGGGTTAGGCCCATAGCTGCCAGAGGGGCTACCCAGACCGCTTCCTGAGCAGCTGAAGGTAAACACTGAGGTCCCCTGACCGTTGGCTCCGTCGTCTTCCTCTCCAGGAGGAGGCTGCTGGGATGCTGTCAGGCTGATATTGTCTAAAAGGTCGTCCATCAGGTTGTCAGAGAGCCCGTCGTTGAGGTTCATGGTACCTGCCAGGTCAGAGAGCCCTGTGGGCCCCGTGGACGGGGACATGCTGCTGGGGCTGGAGTACAGCATCGGGGAGAGAGGCGAGTCGTCGTCAGGCACCTCATCCAGCTCAAGGTTGGCCAGGATTGGGGACAGACGACCGCTGAGTGTGCTGGCGTTGGAATTGGTCCGGGAGCGGAAGTCTGTCCAGGCGTCCAGCTCGTCACTGCTGCGGGAGGTGGGACTTCCTGTCCATTTGGAGAGGCTCGAGGAACTCTCTGAGCTGCCATCTTGAGCTGCCTGCAGCGAGGCTTTCTTCTTGGTGGCACGTCCTCGGGCTCCTTTGATGTACTTGCTGTTATCCATCGATACAGCCCGTCGTCGGGGAGCTTTGCCACCTTTCCCGCCTTCTGGGTTGACCATCCACCAGGAGCTTTTCCCTGTTCCTTCATTCTGGACTTTCACAAAGCGACTATGGAGGGACAGATTGTGTCGGATGGAGTTCTGAAACAAAAACAAATGAAAATAATTAAAGCATGTTTTTTCTGTAGAGCTGATTCATAGCAAATAAAGATGATTCTGAAACTTTATTTTATAGTTTTGACCAGGATTACTAGTTTTATCATAATATTAAGTAAGTACGATCATCGCTACACTATAGGTTTAAGAAGGCAGCTGACCTATGAGAGGTTTGTAAACAAGTCAACAGTTTAGTCACATTATCCATTGTTTCATTACAGAGGAAAACTGTACATGCACACAACTACGGCAAGTACAGTACGCAACATTTAACCAGAAAAGTTATAAACTGTTTACAAAAAAAAAGTTTAGGTAATTAATATTGCAAGTTCATTTCTTAACCTTGACTTAGTTTTGAAAAAATGTTTTAACCATAAGGTCCATTTAGTATCTCTTCTGGAGTTTGTGATGGCATTGTAGATTTCCATTTAAAAAAATTTAAAATAGAAAATTGAACATCTACAACTCTAAGTTTGAAAGCTCCAGAACTGCTACTGAATAGACCTTGTGGAGTTTATACAGTTTGGGTAATCATTTTACCGTTTACCTTTGTTTTCTCTACAAACACACTTGACAATCTGACTGTTTCCTGTCACGTTGGACTTGTTGGACTGGATCAACCTGGGGGTCGGGGGCCCTCAGGGGTCACCAGATATTTCAAACACACAAATACAAGTATATTTTTTTCTAGTTTTTCTCTAACTTTTGATTTTTTTCTTTTAAAACACTAGTTATTGTTACTAAAAGAAGGAAAATCACTGTTTGGCTGAGGAAGAAAATTAAGACTTTTCACAAGTAACATCCAATTAGGGATGTAAGAAAATAATGAACAATATCTTGTGTTTTGTGAGATTGTACTGATTCTCAAAAACAATAAAAGCAGCAGATATAGCAGTGTTATAAACGTAAACTGAGGGCTATAATGTTGGATGTTGCAGGTATAGATGAATACAAATACAGATCCCAGTGGTTACATATGGTGGTGTGTTCTTTATACTATGACAGTTTTCCTAAAATCTGATTTTTTGTTTTTAATCATAATATATGGCTTTGGTTAGAGTATCATAATAAATTAGAATATATTAAATCGTAACCCCTATATCATATGTATGATTCTTCTTCAGATTCTTCTAAATACACAGCTCTCCACCTAATGCTGTAGGCTTCCCACAACACAAAGGTTTTTGATACTGAACTATTACGACCAAGAACTGAACACTGCAAAGTCTTCTAACAGACACTTCTTCTTTGCACGTCGCACTGTGACCTATTTCTGGCTGCTCGGAAAGGTCTAAAGGATTTCCCTGGAGATGTTCCCAACCATGTACAAAATTAAACAGCTGGAGCCTGTGCGTCCGGCCCACACTAAGTCACACTGCAGTAACAGAAGGAAGAAAACTCTGCAGTGATCCAACTTAGCTGGGAGAGGGTCCAGCATAATTCTCTTAAGCTTGATTTAACTTGAGTAAATGGAGGTCCTATTTAAATCTCTCATAAGATTAAACTAATCAAGCTCTAAACAAGCTCAACACATACGGACCACAGCTGTCCATGGACTTCACAATATGGATACCATAAAGGAAGCTGTGATTGTAGTTGCCCTCCAGCTTTGTGATGACTGAGAGATCACAATCGCGAACAGGCCACAGTTTTCCTTGCAATGCAATGAGTCAAAGGAATGACCTGCTGACATCAAACTTCCAGTAAAGCCCACACTTCAAGCCCATTAAAGGATTAGACCAGCTAGCAAACACTGTGATCGCTTACAACAACAAAGCACATGTGGCTAACGGAAATAAAAATGTATGGTACTTCAGTTTGCTCTATTCTCTCTCCGATTTCCACTCAACACATGAGCTGAGTGGGGTTTCTGGCTTTTGTTAATCATTAATTCTTGGGTGTAACCACATCTTCTTGGAGCTAGAGAAGACCAATACCAGTCTACCAGATATGAAGCTACAACCAGCATCTGGTTACAGGTACAGGGGGTTTCTGTAACCAGCAAGGTGTTACCAGCACCTGCAAAGCGAATTAATTAACATGTTTGATTTCAATCTAGAGAGTATTTACAGCAACAGGATGGTGTATCTGGGATAAACTCAATGTTAAACACGTTTTAATAGCTTTTAGACAACAATGGAGCTCTATGGCACAGAGGAACGAAATATATCAGGCTTTGACCACAAAGATAACATACTTACATGTTGATAATATGAAAAACAGAATATCAACAGACTTAACCTTTAACCTGACCTTTGACTCATGTCGCTTCAATGTGGCTTTAACCAAACTGTCCATTTCCATTAGCTGGGTTTATAACCAGAAGGATGCGTCTATAAATATAAGTAGATAAATCTCTAGATTGTTTGACGAAGAGTGCCAAGAAGATGAAGAGAGCAGTGCAGGTGTTAAGAAAACACAGCAACTCAGAGTGTGCACACTTTTCTTTCCCGTCATTTTATTTCCCCTGCCAGCACCCGTAACCAAACAAAATGTGGATGTTTCCAAGTCCGACTTTATCTTTTAAAATACTAAAACATTAGCGAAGCAAGCCAAACACCACAATCACCCCCATGACCTACAGGGAGTAGACACAATAAAAGCAACACCTGTCCTGTTCAGTCTAATGAAATCCAATACAACAACCCTGCAATAGATAAATAACCCTTTGTGACATTCTGGTTGAGCCTGTCAGAGGGGTTTTGATTCAACTCTGTGGTCATTTATGAGGCTGTAAATTACAGAGCTGCTGTATTGGATTGTATTATATTACAGCAGGTGGGCAAAACAGCACAATACAACATCTCAAAAACATCCAAAGAATTCTCCTCTTCAATGAGAGATTGTATGTTATTAGCTGCACAAAGGCATGTGTTATACAACACTGGTGATGCTTTTATTGTGTCTACCTCCTGTATACAGCCGGTTAAGGTTTGCTGTGGCATACGTTGAACAGTATTCGTGCTCTTTAGGTGTAAAACACACTGTTCCTGTTACATTCTGGGTCTTCAAAGAAACATCTAGTGGGGAGTTATTGCACCTTTAAAAAGCTGCAGAGATGTGTTAAACGCTCCTAACACTGCACAGGTAAGATACAGTAGGAGCCATACGGCGTTTAAAAGATAAATCACAAAGAGCAACTCCTGCCTGCCCCTCCCCCATGCAGTCATAGCAGCGCTGCAGCACCCTTTGAGCAAAGCCTCGTTCTGAGCGGGGACTGGAGCAATGCCAGTTTAGCCAGAGCCAGATCCAAAGAGAAACACTGAGCTTCTCTCACACTGCTACACATTGACCTACATAATTTATAGTCAGCTGATTGATTCTTGTGCCCAGGCCACATGAAAAGACAGTGTGGCACACACACACACACACAGGGGTCGAGTGGCTGGGATGGCCATCTTTACAGGAGCTGGACTCACAACAGAGGGGAGGTTTGAACATTTAACCTCACGTTGGAGCTGCACACACATTTGTCATTGAATGTGGTGTCACCCTGGTTGGCGTTGAGAGGTCTGACAGGTCTGGGATTTACAACCTTTCAGTCCCACCCTGAACACGCCGAGGACATTTTTCTGCACGCACTCCCTTCATGCAGATGACCCAACTTTAAGCTGATTGCTGAATGTCACACAGCTACAAAGGATCTCCTAGAAAATGCTGATGTCAGCACTTTTGAAACCCTAACATTAACCCTTTCCTATGCAAGCCCTCAATGTACGTCGGCAGCCACTGAACGCATCTGGTGGGAAAGGAGCGTCCCCAAAAACATGAATGAAACACTGACCGCCACTAATCTGGAGTATTAACTAACCAGCTGATTCTGCGCAGATTAAAATCGGTTATTAGCATCAGTTTGTTTCTCAGCTCGTGTTTCATACTCGTCACATCATCACGATGAGGTTTTAAAAAGCACAATCTTTTGGCCCCTTACTGTAATTTCTTCATGAAGAAACTCCCTGGAATCAGTCTGCATCCCACATCCACAGTTGTGCAGGATTACAAACCTATTTCCAGAGTTTTTCTTCCCCCTCCGCCACTCCCCCCCACCACACACACACACACACACACACACACACACACACATCTAAATCCTGCAAAGCTCAAAGCTTTCATCAGACTTGATTCCATGACAGATGAATTGGTTTTCCAGGCCGAATTAATCCTTAAAATCAAACAGAAGCAGGGCCCCACTGAAGCTTGTAAGAAGCCCCTCTGCTGCAGTGTGAGCAGTTTGTCTGAAAGTGAAATTAACTTTGCATTGCCTATTTAGAGTCTCCACTTTCATACTTGTTCTTTTACTACATCTTAAAATTACTAAAAGATGCAGATCTAACGGAGTAATTTGATGCACCCACTATTACAACTCTACCCTTATATTTTGACAGCAACTTATCATATCATATGTCATTTAACACCATGTGCTCCAGGCAGACACACATCTAAACCCCCAAATCCCCTGCTGATTATCCAAAATATCCCTCACAATAAACCATAAAATCATCCTTTGTATGCATGTAGTGGTGTGTGTGTGTGTGTGTGTGTGTGTGTGTGTGTGTGCGTTGTGTGTGTGCGTGTGTGTGTGCGT